TAAAAAATCCGAAATTAATGATCTTCATATATTACCCTAACTATGTTTTGATTTAATTAGTTGAGGCCCCACCCTAACGTAACGGTAATGATGTGTATATCTTTGTTAAATGACATTCTCAGATTTAACAGTAGTTACTTCAGACAAACTAGGCATTTTTAAAATGTTTACTATAGACGAACAGGCTTAAGGTTTCTTAGTTGTTAGATCAATCGTTTCATTATATATTATTACTATATATCATATCCGCTGATATTTTGAATTATTATTTAAAAATTTAAAATCTTTAACCATAAATAATTTTTGATTCGCTGGTCCGTTTTGGATGACTTTATCATCAAAATGACCTCCTCGGTAAGACGATTCTAACGAGCCCAAAATCGTTAAAATCCGATATCATTAGGGATTTGTATCACTTCGGGTGTCTTAGGATTGGTTTAATCAATTCTAAAACACCCGAAGTTACACAAATTCTTAATGATCTCGGGATCCCGTGATTGGATTTTAACGATTTTGAGCTCATTAGAATCGTCTCGTTTAGGCGGTCATTTTGATAGTAAAATTATTCAAACGGGCCAGTAAATAAAAAGGCTATTTAAGGTTAAAGATTTTAAAATTTTAAATAGTGATTCTAAATATCTATGGATATGTTGTATTCTAATATTATTTTTTTAATAATAGTTTTAGATTTTAAATTTAATTTTAAGTATTATTAATTATATTTGTTATTTTGTTAATAATACAGTAAATTATATCATATTTAATAACTTGTTTTTTTGTTTAAAATTGGATTTTTATTGCAAATAATTAGTAGTAATTTTAGTAAAACCCTTATAAGTACACCCTTTATAAATATACACCCTTTTTATATACATATCATGTTTTAATCCCAAGCCCAAACTTAGAGCTAAGTGTATATTCTCTATATTTTATACATACAAATAATTTTGGGCTTTATGTATATTAAATTTTTTTTTATAAATATATATACTGTATATAATGTTTATATAATAGTTAATCAGAAATTGGTATATGGGGTAGAGTCAATAAAAAAGGGCCAAACTTTTTTTAAGTAAAAGTTTTCTTGACTTTAAGCTTAAATATCTCAGCAATTATCTTATCAAATTTAATATTTTTTTTATTTTTTTTAATTCTTTATAATTTCAAAATAAAAATAAAAAAATTTTAAGCAAATTTGATTAATTAGTTGTTAAGATATTTTAATTTAAAAATTAAAAAAATTTCATTAAAAATAATTTGTCTTTTTTCTATTGACTCCACCTCATATAATACTATTCTTAAACTTCAAACTATATTAAAAAGATTAAGAAGTCAATTTCAGAACCTAATGATCTATTTGGTAGCAAAGAAAATAAAAACATTAATCAAGAGTTTTCTTTAATTGTTTTTGAAGATTATTTAGATTCAGATATTGCATTTATTTTTAATTTGATTAGATACATAAGATCATTTTAATAGCCAAAATGCAAAAAAAATTAAGATCCTAAAAAGGGCAAGTTAAATGCAAAAAAAATCTCAGCAATGCATTTCAATTAAGCTAAAAAAAAAAAGTTAAAATTCTAAAAAGGGCAAGCGAAATGCAAAAAAATCCCAACAATGCATTTCAATTAAGCTAAAAAAAAAAACACAAAAAATAAAAAAACAGAATCCCAACGATGCAACCAGAAATTTTAATGAAATTTTAAAAGCGTTCCATTTCAATGATTTTTATCTTATGCTCTCTTAGTATGATCTCTCGTTTCTTCAAATCTAATAACTTCTTCTATTGTAATCTAATATAATATAGTGTTTTCAGATAAAATCATTTATTTAATCACAAAAATTAAATAAATACTTACTCTAAAATCTAAATCTGATAATAACTGTTCTTTTTTGTAATTTGATTTTTTTTTATTTCTAGATGCTTTATTAAAATTTTCAATTGATTCTATACTGCTGAATAAGCCTTTGCTGAATGAGTCTTCATTTATAACTTTTTTTTTATAACTTTTTTTTTTTATTTCTCAACTATCTTCATCAATTTTATCAAAAGATTTCTTTTTTTTCTGTTTGGGCTTCTTAAAAGAATCTGCATTTTCAGTATTACTTTTTCTTGATAACTTAGATTTGGATTTGTAGAACTTTTATTTCTTTTTATCCAGTTCTTAGTCAGTATTTTTGTATAAATTTGATAAAACATAATAACTCTTCCAAATAAAACTTGATAGTTTTACTTCTAGCTATACACATATTAAAAGTAAGAAAAAAAAGTTAATAAGTATATAATTAAAACCTCCATGAAGCAAAATTTTTTTAATTATTAAAGAAAGTACATAACCAATTTCTTTTACAAAATTAGTAAACCTTAACAAACCAAAAAAATCTATTCAACTCTGTATCTTTATAACTAAACTAGTCTACTATATTTTACTTGTACAATAAAAAAAAAACATATACAACACAATAAAAAAAAACATGTACAATACAATAAAAAAAAACATATATGGTAAAAATAATAGTAGAGCACCAAATAATCCTAACTTTGCTATTTACTCAAGAAATACTTATGGTAAAAAAATATAATAGAGGCTGGCCTGATTCTATTTCAATTTATAAAGAAAACTTGTATAGTAGTAAAATAGCAAATAATCAGAGATGACTAATTCAGAAATAATATAGAAAATCCTTATTTAGGCTATTCAAGCTATTTTAGTATACTCATGAGAATAAATCAGAGTTGAAGACATAATTTTGTGAAAAAAACATACTCCTCTATCTTTTATTAAATTTCTAGATCATTCTATTACTAGTTTGGCATTTAATCATATATAGCTTCACTAACTTTTATTTCAGGTGCAAAATAATTGCAAAAGGTCTTCTCTAAAGAAATAACTCAAAGAGAAATATTGATAGTTTTATAAAATGATATATATTCTTATATTTTGATGATATTTTAAATATTGACTTGTAGGTTTCTTTGTTATTTTTACCTTTTTTTCATTATCTTCAATAAGTTTTATGAAATAAGTAGAGAAATGGTGTTGAGAGCTTCTCAAAATTACAAAGCAGAAACAATAAATACTCTGACTAGTGCAGAAGATTATTATTTAGACTAGATATTCATGGTATTGTAAATTCTTAGAGGTTTTCATTATCAGAATGTTTATTAACTTTAATACTGTATATAGAAATATAATTTAGAAAAAGATTTATATTGGGGTTATTAGTTCTCACTTTGTAAGCATGTTGGGTTTAAAATTGAAGATAAGAAAGAAGTTTTTGAAAATACTTTAAAAATACAAAAGACTAAGAGATATATAAAGCTCTTGTTGAAGTAATATGTGCTATGAGTAGTGGGATGATTTCTAAAACAGTTCTGCAAGCTACTACCAAGCTTCTCATATCTAGATTTATATCATCTCACTTTTTCATACATATTATTTTAATCATATTTATAGGAGGAGGCTTTTATTTATTTGCCGACTTAGCAGATTTTGATATTCCAACTAAATATGAATCGCATATATTACACATACCGCACGCATAATTTACAAATTCTTATCGCATAAATTCCGTGTCCCTGATTTGATTCATTTACTTAATTTCCGACTAATTAAAATTTGCTTCCGATTACTTGATTGAGGTGCTTGAGAATACCTTAATTAAAATTTTGCTTCCGATCACTTGATTGAGGTGCTTGAGAACACCTTTATTCGATTTCCGACTAATTAAAAATTTACTTCTGATCCACTGAGTGAGGTACTTGAGAACACCTTAGTCAAGTCGATAAATAAGGATCGACTACTAACACTATGTTTATAACAGCAAAATTAACATAATGGGTAATTAGGAAAAAAATGGGTTGAATCCGCTTTATTATTAAGACTTCTAACTAGTTTCGCAGTTGAGTATCCTTTTTGTAATTCTATATAATTTTTCTACAAATTAAAATTTAAATATATAAAAACATTAAAAAGATAAATGTAGCTAATTCTAAAATAATTAATCAAATTAGAAAGAATAGTAATAATTATTAAAATCTAGAAAAATAAATTATTATATAAATTATTATACAAGTTAAAAAATTAGAAATTATACTATGGTAACTTCCTTACTCATTGCTCATACACAAAAGTAAATCAATTTCATACTTTCAAAGAAAAATATTCCAGCTATAACCTATAACACATATCAATATCCATTCAATCATCTCAAATCCAGCTTTAATTGACAAAATACCAACGCACCATACTTCCAGTAATGATATCATCAACACACAGATCACGACTGCTACCTCTCCGACCAATACAATCACTGGCGAAATAATTGTGATCAATGTTAAGAACACTAAAGTTATTATAGCATAGAATATATTCTCAAGACTAATATATACTAAATGTTTTTTCCAAATCTTATTTACCATTCTTATCACTAACGGAATATAAAGAACTATACATGCAAGAATAACTGTAGGAATTGTGATGATCAAACAGATTAACACCATTATCAGAGAAAAAAATGAGCGAAGAATATTAACATCTACACGTTCCCCTTTGTAAGTTCTGTAATCATGAATCACGGATGGTATCTCGATGTAAAACCATTTCCAAACAGTTCTAATAAAATCTACAGATCTAAGAATTGGTTTTGCCACTGGAGAATCCAAAAATTTATCCCATCTATTGTCGACATCCAAATTAATTATCTCCAGGTCACGCTCAATTATTTTGTGATGTATAAAATATATCAATGCAGCTGTAGAAGAGAATGTAAAAAATGCATCATTCGATCCTTTATAATATTGTTTGATTGGAATCTGAAGTAAAGTTTGAAATATGTAGAGCAACGAAAGGAATAAGCCGGTTGGAAAGTAAATTATTATCATGTATGGTGTGAATAAAATGAAAATGAATTTAAGAGTTGGGCCAAGATAATTATTAAATAGTATTCCATAATATAGGTAGAATAAGTTTCGTGGAAAGAATAGGATGAAGAGAACGATATTCGGGATAGTACATATGATAAGTACTGGAAGTGCATATAATATGAAATCGAATGTTATAAGGAATATGCTCAATATAAAGCGAATTAGAAGACGAAAATCAAAGTTCATTTTGATTTGATAGTATTACGGATTACTTTAGATAAATTCTATTTCAAATTTTGTGTTTATATTCTTTTTTTTTTTTTTCGCAAATATGGAGTACGAGATGAACCCATAACTTTACGATGAAAACCTAGAGTCTCTTAAAATAAGGTAGATCATAACATGCGATAGTGTTCAATCTCAATTAAGGTTTCCAAGCTAAACAAAAGCTGAAAAGACAAAACTCATGTCTATCAATGACTTTCAAAGGTCACATTGCCAATGAGAAATCTTGCCATTAACGTTAACTAATTTTAAACTTATATGAAAATTAATACGATATTAATATATGATATTACGTGGTGTATATATTATTTACTATATTTTTAACAGTAAAATTGTTGTCTATTTCTGTTGGTTAAAATAGATCGCTTTTCATAAATCCCAATAATAATTTGGTTAACGACATAAAATTTTGTCAACGTACTGTACGTACATACGATCTACTGCAGAATCTCCAATGTTTGAACTATAAATGCCCTAATCATTTTTTTGGTTTTCATAAAATTTTTAAAACTAGTCCGACAATTTGGCTTTTTAACTTTATATATATTGTATATAAAAGTTATTTAGAAAAATATATCTTCTTATTCATAAACTTTAAATAACTTTCTCTTAAATAGTAAGTGTCTAGAATTCGAAAACGCAGTATTTTTTGGATAAAATAAAAACATTTAATGATACATATGGAGTAAAGGTCGAATCCGTGAATATCCACGACTAAAACTGAATATTTAATTTAAAGCATATATTCGTTACACGAAATTCATTAGATCATGAATGTTTATTTAGAATATATAACCAGAACATCATATACGAGTATCCATGTAAATTTCGGATATGTATTCAATATTATCACGTGGATATAATCAAAATCCGTAAAGGATCCGACTTCTAATCTGGAGCATCCTTTCTATCGTTATCGTTATACAGTCCTTAAATCAACAACTCATAAATAGTATAGCGTGAGATATGTTACACAATATATAAACAATAAACTAATATGATTGGATAATATAAACAGAGCTTTTTTGTTCAAAATAGCGCCCATGCGCGTCCCGAAATAACGCGCACCCACCTTATATAGCATAGTGGGTTCATATCACTTCACCACAATCACTTCAAATACTCATTTACCGAACTAACTTCACCGACAAGCTTATTTGCAAGCGATTAATTTACAGACAAGTTCATAGACAGTATATTTCATCAACAACCCATTTCGCGAGTTTTTTTTTTTATAATTGCTTTAACCTTAACCTAATTTTAAACCTAACCCTAACGACATTAATTAGAATTACTTGTCGGTGAAATGGGCTGTCGGGAAATATACTGTCTACGAAATGAACTTAGGCTGTTTG